AAACGCACTTGATTATCGACGCCCACTCGCGATTCTCTAGAGACTGATAGTAAGCCTTCTTTTTCTAACTACTAGCGAGTACTTTAGTGTTTGCACATACGCCTAGCGCCTTCCTAGTCTCATCTATATTCCACGTATCCTCAGCCTGTATACCCAGCTCGACGCGAAGCTACTCATAGAGCTCAAGAAACTCGCGTATCTGCCTTTGTGTTGCTCCCTCAGCTCTCGCAGCCTCTATCTTCCTACCTACAACAGATGCGACGCGTGGGTTGCGCTTTAGAAAGCAGGATATCCAATGCTTGCCTATAGGATTGTTGTCCCTATTCATCCTTAGGATTCGATTCGCCATTTCTCGCGCGCGCGCGTGGGAGGGAGGAAAAGCGCGTGCGTCTTCTTTAAGGATCTATTGTACGAGAAACTCCTCTTGTTGTGGAGTTAATCGCTGTTAGTATACGTGGCTGGTTTAGCTGCTCTGTCTGCCTCGTAGTCGCGCAGAGAGTGTGGGTTGCGGGATATTGTACGCCTTTGCAGTAGCTCGTTAGCTAGGAAAAATACTAGTATCAAAGTCACGGATGGCTACTTGTATAGCTTCTTCGCGTTTGTCCATTTTAGGTAGCTGGGTGTTGAGAAATCGCGTGTGTTGAGAGAGGTGTTGAGATTTGGTGGGTGATTCGGAACCCCGGGTGATTCGTATCGGGGGCGACTAGCTTAGTGCAGAAAAAATGTGGGAAAACTTAAATAGCGCGCCCCTGTTATACTTGGCATATTATCATTCATATCATAAGTTTATATATTATAATACCCCAGTTTTATACATCAAGTCGTATCAGGTCGCTTAGCTCAGTTGGTTAGAGCGTAAGTTAACCGATATTACCTCTCTTTACCTCGACTAATTATGTCATCAGGTGGTGCTAATAACGCCAAGGTCGCGAGTTCGACCCTCGTAGTGACCATTCATCCGTCTTTTTTGCTTCCCTTTAGGCCAGCGTACTCCGTACTCGTTGCTGGCGTTGTGGACGTTTTTGATTTTTGATCTATGGAAATTTTCTCGATAATGCTGTGGGAGAGGTGGATAGCAAAAGCCGGAAGATGCCGCCTTTAATAATAATATATGGGCTTAGAAATCTATGTTTCGTCTGAATAATTATTCCGAATAATGCTGCCATTCGTGCATTCATAATTCAGTTATTCATAAGACCCCTGCTTGGCACTTGGGGTGCGAGTGACTCTTAAAAGCGGCGATAGAAAACCTCCAAAAAAGGAGTCAAAAGTCCCCGGACATAGAGTTACTGTAGTAAAGTACGCTGGGTTCGTGCTTGAATAAGCCACCTTGGGACACAATTCTCCACAACGCTGCGCAGAGTTTGCGGAGTTGACTACCTCCTGCTGCGAATACCTGTGAACCAAGCTTTGTGTTCCCAACCTCGTAAATTTTCGCCGTAGCCGCAACCCATTGGCTGTCAAATGTTACTGTTTGAGATGAACTGGAGTTTCGCGGTGTAGGACACCTTTTATGTTTGCTGTTAGGATATTGCCCGTTTTAAGACACTACATAACTTGTACATTGTGGACTCTTTTATACCTGCATCTGTACGATACTATTCTACATTACCTGCTATTATTAGTTTATTTACTAAGTAACCGTGATTCTCAGAGCACTCACAAGTCGGCCTGCACCAATAGGCCCAAGACAACACAAAGAGCTAACTTGTGAGTCACATCAGACGTCGTTCCAAGGTGGCCACCAGCAGAAGTTGGCACTTTTTCGGGGCGGAGTCAAGCACGTAGAGGTAGTGTATTAATGTCTGAAGATCTATTACTGAAGGTCGTATTCTCATTATAGCTGCGAACTATGCTAAGAGCCTTGACGATGCCCTTATTCGTCCTAGACCAATTAATAAGCGCTACGGGCGCACCTTATGCAACTATTTCTCATTTTAAAAGGATAATAACATTTGGGAAATAGCTTACTAGAGAAAGTAGCAGACAGTACTCAAGGAGGCATGTCGATTAACGAAATACTGTTGTGCTTTAATGTCCGCCTGTAAGGAAATTACGTTTGTGTTTGCTTAATTTTCTACGAATGCGAGCTAGTCAACTCAAAAACCCATAGGGCGTTGAAATAAATTTTGTAATCGCCATATGGGCTTCTGCTGACACATTGACGCTAGCCTGAAAAAAACAATTATTTGGCTGCACGCTGCACGTGCTAGGCACCAATCGCTAGCCGCGCGGGAGACCTGGAACCTGGTGAGCCTATCTAATCGGCCATTCCTCCTCTCACGATATATCTAATTCCACCATGTCTGATTCAGAACCAGAATTCCTGTACCGCCAGCCACGCATGGACGACGTTGAGAATGTTGAGGCGTACAAACCTGGCGGTTACCACCCGATCGATATTGGCGATAAAATTGGCACCGGCAACCAGCAATATCAAGTGGTCCATAAGCTTGGCTACGGGGGCTTTTCGACGGTCTGGCTAGTTCACCCGCTTGGAGAAACGTCTTCCTACTTCGCTCTAAAAGTCCTCCGTGCAGACGTCGTCCACGTCAATGAATTGGAAGTGCTCCAGCATCTCAAGGCGGCCGCAGGACCTGGACACCCGAATGTGGTCGTACTACACGACCCGTTCAAAGTCTCCGGCCCTAACGGCGAGCATCACTGCCTTGTCTTCCCTGTTCTAGGGCCAAGCCTCTACAGAACAGCGGTTCTTAAAGCATTGCCCAGTCCAGTACGACATCGTATATGCGAACAGCTCTCCAGCGCTCTTGCATTCTTACATAGCCATGGAATCTGCCACGGCGGTAAGCTTTACTTTCCCATTCGATACCTTAGGCTTACAAGATATCTAGACCTTACTCCGTCCAATGTAGTATTCGAGCTTCCTGCTGCTCGTCTAGATCAATTTCTTACTCCGATCAACGCTGAGAATCTCAAACTGGGCAATGGGTCGCGTTCGCGACACGCCCCAATGCAAGTCATCCAAGCACCCGAGTTTTTAGGATTCGACTATTCTTCGCTTTGGAAAGTTCGGATCATTGATTTCGGAGAGGCATTTTTTACCTCCCTTCCGCCATCGTCATTAGGGAGCCCTATCGAATTCTTCCCTCCCGAGCTTTGTTTTGGCTACAGTCCTTCTGCCAAAGCAGATATTTGGCAGCTCGCCTGTGTCTTTTACATGGTTCACTCAGGACGGTTCCTATTTCCCGTCTTTTTTGAGATATATGAAATTCTTATTGGGACTATTGTGAACTGCGTCGGTCCTTTGCCTCAGCACTGGAGGGGGCGTTTCAAATTCGAGAGTTTCGGCTATCGGGAGCGCGGACGTGAGCAGAACAAGACAGACCCGGAGTGGTGGTTCGACGACAAGGCTCCCAAGAATTCAGTCGACAGCCAGCTCACCGAACATGCCCCTCATCTCTCTACTCATCAGCGGGAGCATTACGTCCGCCTGCTTTGCAAAATGCTGGACCTTGAGCCCAACGCCCGTCTCTCGGCAGCAGATGTGGGTTCTATTTTAGGCCAGCATCCGGAGGATGTCGTGGAGCTGAAGACCAAGGGGGACGAATGACACGCTGAGACAAGGTATACCTGCAAAACGGAGAACTGCAACGCCCAGGTGAAGGAGCTCCATTGGATATTCCCCCCTCCGACTCCAGCGGTTGTGGGGCTTTTTGATTATTCGTTCCTGGAGATATGGGTTTTATGGTGTTCGTAGTTCTAGGTCTTGAATGCTATGGGCTCGTTTCTTAAGCTGCTGTAAGTTCTCATGTTGGCTAATCGGTTGTGGCAAAGAGTCATTTGCGGACTGACTTTGACAAGCTGGAAAGAGAGTTCGTCCGCGAAGTGAAGGGATACTGGCAGTCTCTATCTATCTAGCTCACGATCCTTATGGTCCAAGGTGGTTAGGATCATAACTTAGCTGGAGTTGCGGCCATCGCGAGTTGGAGAACTCGGATAGAGGGCCACAAGGGCCAAGTTTGTAGCGGTTATTACTAATACCTAGCTTCACATGAGTTCAGTCATATGATTAGTTAAGGTCGTACACTGCGTATATATTTATTTCTCTTACGCATCTTCCTTATTCATCTACACCCTCGCATACCATGGCTTCCCCTTTTAATGAGAGCGAGAATCGTTCAGCTATCATTATCCTTATCCTCAGGATAGCCCATAACTCAGCAAAATAATGGAGAGGCTGGAGACGTGATCACGCGACGTACTAATAAAAGCTCCTTAAAATGCGCTCACAGCTTATTAAAGAAAAGCAGGAATCTAGTTCAGTATAACGCCGAGGCCTATATCCTAGTTTAGCGAAATAGAAAGATCTGGGAATAACGTTATAAGTCTGTTAATTGTAAAGGCTAGCCGCTTACGTCTAGCGCAATCGTGAGTAACTTATTGATGGGAACTAGTAGAACCTTTCCGCGCTAAGAATCTTTAAGGAGAGACACGTAGATTCTCTATGCGTTTAGGCTGTTGAAACGCTTGCTATTCTAATATCCTTAGCGTATCCATTTAAAACATTAGGAGGGCTGCTTAAAGTACGCTCTATAGCCCGTGTGAAGATGGTAGATATTTGTAATAACCGCTACAAACTTAGCCCTTGTGGCCCTCTATCTAAGTTCTTTAACTCGTAATAGCCGTAACTCTAGAATGCTTATATAACTAGTAAGGTATATTAGTAATTAAAGTCTAATAACTTTAGTATTGTAAAAATATATAACTACACCCTATTATATTTTTACTTCTTTAGTAACTAGAAAGAGTGAAAGCGTCATTTCGCGTTAAAATAGGCCTCCGCGAAAGCTAAAGAGTGTCCTCTAAAGTGAGAGTTATAATAGTTCGGGACTGCCGTAATAGTCGTTCGCTACCTTATTAGGCAAATGCAACTGCTCCTCTCTTTGAAATGGGTTTATAGCTTCTATACAAATATAAGTAAAGCGAAACTTCGGAAATTGCTTATCAAGCTAGTTAAGTAGGAAAAAGCTACTCAAGAATGGTCTTTTCAACGAATAGTCTAAGGTAGTTGCGACGGTAGCTGATCAACACCGAAAAAACCATTCGAATAACTTAATACAAGAGACGAAGCTATTTTAGAACAGTTCCCTTTTTCTTTTTGAAAATAATTTAGCAAAATACGATCTGTTACCATAACGGTTCCGTGTATACTTGCGCAGTGTTGGCCTCACACCTTGCGTTGACGGATTTATAAGGAAACACCTTCCACACTTACTTTATATCGTAATCCCACTTCCAATATCTAGTAATACAGATAAACAGAAGAAGTCTAACTAACTACACATCCTATTCTCTACTCTTAATCCCACCCTCTCACTCAACTCACTCACCTACACATACAGCATCTCGATCAGCGTTTCAGACCAGCCTCGCACCTAAGCCCTTAATCCACTGCCTGCACACAGACGCATACACGAACGCTACAGCCCCACACACTATACGCCGATGCTAAAACAGACTAACCTATGCACAATACCACGTGCATGCATGCACGCGTACAGCGCAATCCCTCACCCGAGTTCTCAGCCACGAGGTCTCCATGCAGGCCTCGCTCACAACTTCGCCCCGGCGAACAACAACCGATAAACTCTAACCCATACATTTCGCCACCAACTAAGGCAGCTTGAGAAACAAACGCACGCCGTTCATACCCCATTCAGAACATGTTCAAGCTTTATGGCCCCCAGCCGCAAGCCAGCGCCGCAGCGGCGCAGCCTCGTGGAAAGCAAGGAAGGAAGTGAAACAAGCCGCCTGAAAGAATTGCAAATACGGCATCGCCATCGTAGAGATATCTCGCGCTGTCAGGGAGTAGATGCATATAGACTCCACGCGCTTGACGCATTGGTTTTCCGAGACCTAGCACGTGTCTGGGTATTACATAGGTGGTACGGGCTAGCGTGAACGTTATATGTATACTTGAGCGAGTAAT